AAGGATCCAGACCGCTCGTATCCGTGAGCACGGCTGTTATAACAGGTTAATTATTTCTACAGAAATTGTACATCTTTGCCCACCGAGCCATGATTCCCAATGCCGGGGTTCACGAGACCCACTACACCTCTTCCCAGGAAGTGTGGCAAGGTTTCACTATGAAACCCTTAGCTAGTTGCACTAACAAGTCATAGCTACAAAGGAGTGGCACACGTGGGCATCGCAGGACGGTACACACCCTAACAGAAAAATGAAAGATACCCTCTTACCCTTATTGGAGCTATAGATGAGCTAGTACAATCTAGTTAACAGGTTAAAGTCAGAGCCATATGACACTCGGGGTTGTACAAACCCTCCTGGGTTGTCGCTTCAGGATTAAATCCTTATGGAGAGGCACTAGAGTACTCAACCCCGTACTCTAGCCCCCTATCTGTTGCTAAAAAGTTCCATTTTACCACATTGCATATAGCCTTTAATCATTTTTCACAATTATTTTATGTTAAGCACTGCAGCATCTATCCAAAATGTCTACCCAAAAACCCTAGGTATTCAAGGATATGTGGTACAAGTAATCATCTAGGTAAAATCCTTAAAGGCATTTCAAATTAAACACATGCATGAATATGAATGGTAATAGTTCATAGGTAACAAGAGACCTTTGGTATACTTGCCTTCCTCAAAGTCGTCCTGAAAGTACAGCTGATCCTGCTGTGGGTCCTCAGTCACCTCAAATGGCTCACCCTCTAATCGTGTTCCAATCACCAATCAAGCATCATACCAATCATTACATGCATATAAGATAGACTTCTATTAGAACAATACATCAAACAGTAAAAACATAAGTTGAAAAGCTTATAAATCTATTCTATGTACTGCTACGAACACGTGAGCGAAAGAATCACTCAAATCGGACTTAAAACACGAAAGTTATGCATGAATTAAGATGTAATGGCATTTCTATAAATCAAACAAACTTAAATTTGAATATAATCATACTGTAACGTGTTCTTGGACTGCGGGCACTATTACTTAGAAATACAGGGGCTAAATTGGAAGAAAACAGGACTGAATAGAAATACTTTTGAACTGATGAGTACCGCGGGTTGATTCTGAGAAAACCGAAGGGCTAAAACGCAAAAATGCACGGCGGGTCGCGGTTGACCGTGTCACCGGCTGACTAAGCGGCCATGTGGTGGTGTGTGAGTGGTGCGGTGCACCACGCGTGCGTGGGCGCCCTGATGTGGCGCTGCAGACCGAGTCCATGGTCCAACCGGTGGACTGGTTATAATCCCTAAAGGGGTACGCAATTTCGACCGCTCATTCAAGATCCAACGGCGCTGCTGCGAAGGACAGAAGCTCACCGGCGATGATGGCTCCCATGGCGGCACCATGGCCGGCATGACTAGCTCTCGCTGATACGGCGCACCAGTGCGCAAACCCAAAGAAAGGGCACAGGAAGGGTCGGGAGCTCACCGTGAGTCCGGTGGAGGCATTCACAGCGTTCGGGGTGGTCTCCAGAGGCAAGGTCGATGGCGGTGGTGCTCTGGAGAGAGAGAGAGCGTGGGTGAGGAAGCATTCGAGAAATATGTGACCAATTCATGAAAATGGAGGTACCTAAGGGTGCGGGTGGTCATGATGAATCTCCGGGTGGCGTCGGCGTCGAGCTCCGAGGCGCGGGCGAGGGAGAGCGGTGGCGGCGGCTACTAGAAACCGAGAGCATGGGATGGGAGAGGGAGAAGGGACGGTGCGGGGCTTTATAGGCCGGTCGGTGAGCGCTAGAAGGAAAGGGAGCGGGAGGATTTGGGTGTGATTGGCCGCCTGCCATGTGGCAACGGTGGTGGGATTCCATGCCGGCAGCGCCAATGGCGGGCACCGAGGAAGGAAAGTGCCAGGGGGGAGAAAGGAAATGCTAAGGAAGAAGAAAGGAAGGGAAGAGAAGGGAACTGATAGGTGGGGCCGGAGGCACAGTGAGTGAAGGGAGAGAGCAGACGACAGCGCTTGCGGGCGATGAAGGCCGAGCGGAGCCGGCCGAGCTGGGCCACGCGGTGCAGTTGCGGTGTGCGCACGGGAGAAGAAAAAGGGCCACGCGGAAGCAGGCCAGTGTGGGCAGGAAAAGGGAAGGGAGGAAGGGCACGGCTGGGCCGCTAGGGGGCCAGTGCGGGAAGGGGGAGAAAAAAAAGACTGGGCCAGAACCTGGGGTTGGGCCAGAATGGAAGAAAGGAGATTTTTTTCAAAAACAAAACCTTTTCCAAATCTATTTTCTCTATTTTCAATTCTAAGCCAAATTCAAATAAAATTTGAATTCAACTTCAAATCATCTAGCCCTACACTCAATCAAAAACCATATGCTTCGGCATGAATGCAACAACCATTGTTTCTAATCCTTATAGTGTATTTTATTTATCCAACATTTATTATTTAGCCTAAGTTAAAAATTCCTAGAAAATTTAATAAATGTTAAGAATTAATTGCTAATTCATAGTAAGAATTTTGGGTGTTACAGAGGCACGGGCTTAGTTAGTGAATTGGCAAGTTGGTCAGAAGTATGAACATGAGAAATACACAATTTACCTATAGCATCTTGATCTCGAACGAAATGGAAGTCAATGGCAATGTGCTTCATACGAGAATGGAACACGGGTTTGGCACAAACATAAGTGGCACTTACATTGTCACAATAGATGACTAGAGTGGGTGAGATTTGAACTTTTAGCTCTTGAAGAAGATTCATAATCCAATTGACTTCCGCGGCAGTGGAGGCAATGGCCTAATGAATCGATCTCAATTGATCCCTCGTTACTGCCCATAGGAGCCCATAGGAGAAGTAATAGGTAGGGATAACAGGATTTGAACCTGTGACATTTTGTAGCCAAAACAAATGCGCTACCAAGCTGCTCTACATCCCTTTTCCAAATTGTTGTACAGTGTCATTGTACAAAAAAAACCCTGTCTTGTTTTCCACATCGTAATTTTATCCTCCATCTATATACAACTTTCTTGTCATTTCTTCTTTTTGGTTTCATATAATAAATGATATACATCTAAAACCCAACCTAACGTATAAAGAAAGAATATTTATTGGTAATGCTCAGGAAGAAAGAAGGGGTCATTTTTTGGTTTTTTATTCCACCCTTATGTACCCTTCTTTGCATTTTTTCTAAAGCCTGTTCAACCTCATATCACCTAGAACAAGTCATGGACTTCTTCAATGAAAGAAAGTCTCATGGAAAGGTTTTCAACGAAATAAGAACCATACAAAATAGATTTCTTGATCTTTTTTTAGGAAAACTTTTTAATTCGCTGTTTTTTCTTTTATCCTAAAGATATGTAGAACGAGTGTATTAGGAAATGTTCGTTGTCTAGCTTTGCATACATCGCTACTTAATTGTTTAGTGGTTATCAATGAAATTACTTCACCATAGAGAAAATATTATGGAAGTTTATATATATATTATTGGTTGCTTTTGTTTATGTCCAATTGGAAAAGTTGATCTGCTAAATTAATATGTTTAGCCTAAAGTACACAACTTGTGTTCCTCACTAGTTCTTGCAAAGCCACCTAATCAAGCCTCACCTCATTTTTAGTTAGAACATGTTCATCATGTTCAGCTGAAAGCAAACTAAAAAAATAGAAGGACGGTAGATAGTAAAGAAAAGGACTAATCATAATATCTATCTTTAAAAGATTCAATAAAAAGACAGTTGGCGGGTCTCTTTGTATGTCTTGTTCGGAAAGAGGAGGACTTAATGATTATTCGTCTGTCGGAACCAGAAGTTCAAATCCATTTGGTGTAGGGAACCCTTTCAAAGCTTCTGTTTCATAGTCTACCGAGTAGCAGTTCCAGCATTATCCGAATCAGCATTGCGCCAGAATCCATTCAACCAAGAAAGGCATAAGCGCTAACTGATCTGAAACGAAATCAAATAGTTCTTTCCATTTTCCCAGCCAGAAAGCCCTAGGATGGCATGGATGTCAGCGGTTTGAGTCTGCTTATCTCCAGCCCGTGAACTTAGCGGATACTATGATAGCACCGAATTTTGCCAATTCGTCAGATCGATCTAAGATTTTGCATTCATGGACGTTGATAAGATCCTTCCATTTAGTAGTAGCAGCTTAAGATGGCATAGCCTTAACGTTAATGGCGAGGTTCGAAAGAGGAAAGGCTTGCTTTATTCAATACTCCTTATCTATGTAGTGTCTCTTCATTTTCTTGGTGCTTAATGTTGACATTTCAGTAATGGAGGAAGATTGAGAGTGAAACATTTAGGTACAACAAAAGGAAAAAGGAAACCCTTATTTATAAGTAGCTTTGCATAGCAATTGGATCTGGTAAGGTCTAAGGTATAACACAAAGTACCTCTTGAGCGACCTAGGTTCATGCTGGTACTCCTTTCGAAAAAAAATTCGTTGGAAAGAGCTTCTTGCATACGATCTCCTCTAGTTGATATTGATGGTATTCATGCTCACCCCCTTCCCTACTTCAATGGAAAAGGGGGAATCACCCTTTCATAGCTGCCCCTCCACTAGCTTGGTTACAAGCCTAGCAAGGGAATCAATGGCCATTCCTAACAAGCTTCTTTCTTGCTTGACTCCATTAACTCAGTTTTAGCTTAATGAACTTTCGGTGGCAAGGGAGATATTAGCAACCCCTTTTAGTTATATATGTGGAATCGTCTTGCGCCATATGTACTGAAATTATTTGGGAGACATGGTCAAAGCCTGGGTTGAAGCCCGTAAAGGAGATTTCTTTCAGCCAACATCTAGCCTTAGTGGGCCCTCTCTGATAAGGTTTGAAATCAAAACGAAAAAAATGACAAATCTGGTCCGATGGCTCTTCTCCACTAACCACAAGAATATCGGTACTCTATATTTCATCTTCGGTGCCATTGCAGGAGTGATGGGCACATGCTTCTCCGTACTGATTCGTATGGAATTAGCCCGACCCAGTGATCAAATTCTTGGTGTGGAATCATCAACTTTATAATGTTTTAATAACAGCTCACGCTTTTTTAATGATCTTTTTTATGGTTATGCCGGCAATGATAGGTGGATTTGGGAATTGGTTTGTTCCGATTCTAATAGGTGCACCTGACATGGCATTTCCACGATTAAATAATATATCATTATGGTTGTTGCCACCAAGTCTCTTGCTCCTATTAAGCTCAGCCTTAGTAGAAGTGGGCAGCGGTGTGAAAGGAATAGCCTTGAATCTTGAGAATGAGAATCTGGGGCTCAACTTGCTACTCATAGCGCGTACACCTGATGGGAGCGACATCCCTTCATTTCCCCCAATGAAGCTACGGGAGGCCTTCCAGACCCAAATCCAATTTAGGTCCCTCCTGAAAACAAAGAGGATATCATTTCCGATTTAACCCAAAGTGTTGAAGACGTGTTCCAAAGTCAGGGTAGAGCATTAGAGGGAGCACAGTCTATCCGTGATTTGGTAGATGATGTGCTTTGGGATGGGGGGATCTTTTTAGGCTTCAACTAATCTGGATCGACTTCCAGGAAAGAGGAGAGGAGAGTGAATTTTGGGTTTCTGTAAACAATTTATAGAGAAAATATGAACATGCCGCACGGAATGAGCCGGATACTCCTGACCCCAATGCCCCAGTCGAGGCTGATTCTCCTCTTGTCGAGGCTGATTCCCCTCCTGTCAAAGGCGGAACAGAGGTTGGGCCATCAAAGAAACGGGGAAGAGAGGAGAACTCTTCCGAGGATGGGGAATCGAGGGGTGACCCAACTCCCGGGGAATCCTCCTCATGTGTGGGATTCAATTCGTGGATTGATGGATTCGATTAAGTACCTACCATACCATGCTAGATGGAGAGTAAGCAAGCTACCTTGCTTGCATTCGTTAAACGGTAGCTTCCGCGCCCTTCCTGCCTACAGAAATTGATGTGAATGATCGTGTCTTCGACATCAATTTCAGTTTGATTAGATATGTCATTGAAACAAATCTGTTTTGTCTTTGTTTTATTTTCGGATGATAAGGATGAGCTAGCCGATCCTAACATAATTTTGGAGGAGCCAGATGACGAAGCCTCAAAATCTGATAAGGATGTCTCCGACGCGACCGGACTGCAACTATATATCTTTTTAGGGGTCAGGAGGGAAAAAAGATATGATGTTTCCTATCAGTCCCAAGCGGATACCCCCCAGCTTCCACGGTTCACTTACCGAGGAAGAGATGCGGGAGGACCCAGGGCCAGAGCAAGTTGGGTTGGGGTATAGAGCCATAAGCGCGGTGGGGGTGATAGAGGATGTGCTCATACAGTTCATAGTTGGGTATGATATTCTCATGGATTGTTGGGAACGTCCTCTATATTCGAAATATGCCTTTCTAGGAGCATGCTTTTGGTATTTATTTATCAAAGAAAGACACATTTAAGCGAGTGTGGCAAGGGGATTAAATCTCAGCTCTCCTAATTCCGTCTATAGGTGGTTCAATCTTATAAGTTTCGCTTAGGTACATCGATTCAATCCTGCCCTAGGCGTACCGTACCTGAGACAACCCTTTCCTCACCCGAGAATTGCATTTCTTCTTCAGCTTCCTTACATCCAAGTTTTTCTGGATCTAGGCAAGGATCCTTTCTCCTCAGCCTATAGAAAGAAAAGAATCTCAGTTCGAATAGGTAGGAAGAAAAAGTGCACTATAAGTCTTGTCAAACAACTGATTATCTGCTGTAACCGAAGCATTTGTGCCTCCCCATCAGAAGCAATCAGTGAAAGCACTCCAATATTAGCAAGTTGAATGGCTAAATACGTATCAATTCACTAACCATTTGCGCTGGTGTCAGATGTGACACATACAGTCCAGTAGTCTGTCCTCGACAGGTTATATTGATCACCAGCATAATGACCTACAGAAAACAGATAGTGGGGTACTAAGAGAGGTTATGTCAGAGCTGAAACCAAAGGAAGTCGGAATTGGGAGAATAGGAGATGTACAAGGTGAGAGAATAGCTGGCGGAGAGGTGATAAACTAGGGGAGCTTAAATCACAGATAGGTAGTGTATTCCTACAAGGAACAGGTGCTTGTGGTATCCTGTGGAAAACAAAATGTCCTAAGCGAAGGGACTACCAGAAAAGTATTAGGAGATGCTGAGTACTTGTTTGGATACCGAAATTGACTCTCGAAAGGCTATTTCCTTGCAAATCGAAAGCCAACAGCTAGTACCAAGCTCTCATTGCAGTGAGATGAGGAATGACCCAAACATCAACAACATCTGAAGACGTAGATGCATATGTACGCATTTTATTGAAATCATTAACTAGAAGATGATTCTTAGCTTCGGAGTCAACTTACGCCAGGGATTAGTATGGAGATTCGCGCACTAGATGGTTGCTCCAACATTTTCATAGGAAAAATCTATCACATGGAAACAGCAACCATCGAGTAAATAGAAGTTTTTTTCAATCCTTGGTTGCAATGGTTCAATCGAGAGAAGAGCAAGTAAATTTCATAAATTGGAACAACCACATCAGCTTCATTCTTTTCACATAGGGGTAGTTTTGTCAACTCGCCTGAAGACCACTGGAATCGTAACCGATACCCCTGGCCACACAATTCAAACCTACCAGACTATAGTACTTACATCCCTTACCATTATCCACCTTCTCTCGTTCTCTTTCTACGAATGAGCTAATGCTTTTTTTCGATCCCTACCACACCCGGCATCGTGTTACCATTTGATGATTTCTTAGTGGGACAGTTTCAGTAAGAGTAGAGATAGTTGAAAGAGTAGTTAGATGAGTCCTGACTCCTGCATATTTGTACGAGATACCTTATGGCTTCAAAATGACAAAGTCCGGTGTGAGGTTAATTGAACATATTGAAATATGGGTCCCCACACAAATAAAGTAAGAAACCAGATTTTCCTTAAGGAATTGGCTTTGAGGCCTGACCCCCATCAATTCCATTGAGTTTCATTCTTGCGAACGTACTCCCTAGGCGGGATACTTAACGTGTTAGCTACAGCACTACACGGGTCGAGTCGCACAGCACCTAGTATCCATCGTTTACGGCTAGGACTACTGGGGTCTCTAATCCCATTTGCTCCCCTAGCTTTCGTCTCTCAGTGTCAGTGTCGGCCCAGCAGAGTGCTTTCGCCGTTGGTGTTCTTTCCGATCTCAATGCATTTCACCGCTCCACTAGAAATTCCCTCTGCCCCTACTGTACTCCAGCTTGGTAGTTTCCACCGCCTGTCTAGGGTTGAGCCTTGGGATTTAACAGGCTTGGATAGAATGGGTATGGAACCGCCCCCGAGTCAACGATGCACCCAATCGCGAGCCTTATATGAGTTTCATAGTCAGCCTGCTCTTTCAAGAACGTGCCTTCTAAACTCGTTGTTTCGCTTGCAGATTGGAATTTCCTACTGACTATCCGGGTTCTTGATACCACCGCTACTCATCACATGTGTCCACATCGATCATGAGGAGAAAGCAATGGTTGGGAAGCAGGGTGCTCTCAGCATAGGTAGGATGTATCTCTAGATTATCCTTGGTATGCTTCCATTGTGGCACCTTAGCCAGGTATAGTAGAAGGTGATCCATGCTATTCATAAGTTGAAAAGCCCCATTCCATCGATAGGGTTCAATCCACTACATACCTTTAAGATCCTAAGCTACTCCACGGCTAAATCAACCAACGTCTAGGATTCTAGCTCAAGATCGGGAAAGAGCTTCGTTCCCTCAACCAAGGCATGAGTCACTAGCCACCTCTCTTTGTGTGTTTTCTCGCTTGACTTCAGCTGGCCATGGGTGCTGAGCCCCCTAAAAGAACCGAGTAGAGTTGATTTCTCATACTAACCTAAGAGCAGATATGCTGAAATATTTCCACATTCAAGCAGCTAATCAGTAAACAACTTCTCTGTAACAGTTTGAAGATTGGCTCACAACGCAAGTAGCGGCAAGAAAGGAGATCAATACACCGTTATCAACAACAGATAAATTATTGGCGAAAGAAGGCTCGATTCGTCTATGAAACCCCACTAGGCAAGTGGATTCTTCTTCCTAGTAAAAAGGTCTCTCTTCGATAAATACCGAACATAGAAACTAAAAAGAGAAGAGTTGCTCAAGTACACAGAAAAATACCTCGTTCAGAAGTGGATACACTTATTTTCAATATCAAACTATCTCAACTAACATCAAAGGTGGGAATTTTGGATAAGATTAGGTAGAGGTTGTAAGTCCTATTGCAAGAATAGTCTACTTTTTATAATAGAATCCTCGTTTTTATGAGGATTCTATTATAAATAAAAAAAAAAGTTCTTTGATAGGAAAAGAATACTGAGGACACAATATACCAAAAACTTTTGTTCTATATAATGATAATGGAGGGATTCGTTCTAAGAATATTGTACCGAGGAATTCGACACATAAAAGTCCATTTATTAATTAATCCGAATTATTCATTCATATTAAATAATTGGAATTTCTTTTGGATAGTTCAATTCAGATTATTTCAAAATCTTATTATTTGTTTGCTTGTTGCCCAGAAAAACCTTTTGGTTTTGGATGCTCGTTGCCGCTAGAAAATGATCTTGATTTTGCTAAAGAATAAGATTGTACTATGGAAAAATAAGTCTTTTTTTTCCAAAGATTTTTACGAATACGCTTTTTTGACATCGAAGTACGTTTTTTTGGAACTGCCATTCAAAAAGGGAATTACTTTTTTCTAGTTGTATGTGAAAGACATCTATTGCCGCAAATCAATCCTTCTTTCCCTGACATACACGAGAAAGCTAGGGGCATTGGGCACAGACCCCCGGACCACCCCCACGCTCACACCTCATTCTTCTTCCTCGACTGATCCAACGAGTTCAATGATTGGGGAGTTGAAATGATAGCGGATTTGCTCTTTTCTTGTTTTTAGAAAATAGAAACGAAATCTTCTCTGTCCATATCCTTGGAAAAGTGACTGATGGTGAAACGTGTAGTCCAATTGGAAGGTGAAAAAAGTGATGCCAAGAGGTCAACTCAGCGTGCTTTGTTTGCTTTTTCCTCTCCATGCACTAAATAAGACTAGCTGTTGGTTGGTTGTAAATCTAGGAATAGTCCAGACTGAGAATAAGCATCATCTCGTTAGCGAAGGAAACTCACTCTAGTAAGATCAGGCATGGCAGCATATGATCCAAACATTCACTCGCCAGTTGTTTCAATTGCTTCTTTATTTATTCTCAAGTCATCACCGGCAGGTACCGAAAAAATAGTCATTAATGCCCTTCTTGATCATAAAAAATGATTATTGCCTCTTTTTGTTTAATCCCCAATTAATAGCTCAGATTCATATCCTCGGAGCAAGGAACAAGAAAGGTCTTGAGCAGCCAAGAAGAATTCAAAGCGTAGGGTGCACCCTAGCGGCTACTCTGGTTAATCGCATTACGGTGATCGTTCTTTCCTTCTAGTCTCATATCCATGCCCATGCTTTCTTCTTTGCGCACTGTTCGTTATGTCCTTAGCCTCCGCTTCACAATCATTAAATGAACTAGTACACTCAATCGCTGGTTCGACATCTGCCTTCCCACTGACATCTGCTTCACCTACAATGCTTTGGGCCCACTCTTCTCTATGCATGGCATTTCAAGAGAGAGAATTGCAAGAAATCTCCTTTAAGAGATATGAAAAGAATAGGATTTCTGCGAAGAGCTATCCGTGAATGTCTCTTCTTTTGTTTTTATATCAGAATGATATTGTTGAAGAGGGCAATGAGACTACAGTAAAGGAGGATTACTTGCATTGATATCATCATGAGTGGATTGATTAATCAATGTATTGAGAGTAGATGGAGTAGGTGATCTATGAGAAAATAAGTGCTCACAATCCATAGAGGACTTGTTGGGATAACTGCTCTCTCTCTCTATCTCAGCTGCTAAAAAGACTACCGGCAAGCAAGAGGGACTTTTCTCGTTAGCTATATTCTATATTCATACCAAGTTCATGTCTGTTTTTCTAGGATATTTAAAAGTCGTACCCAACCCGTAGACTTGTGAAAGCAGTAGCGTTAAGTCAGAGTTGATAAGTTATTTTTCTATGGTAAGGAAGGAGCTGCTCATTCCGTGATTGACAAAGCTAGAACGAGGTCTCTCTTACTTAGAAAGAGTCTCACATACTTGGTAGATGTATGTGAGACTCTATTGATCTTCCGTCGCTCGCTATGGATGGTTGCAGTTGCCAAAAGGCTACCTTTTCGCACAACACTTAAATGAGTCACTGACTGGTTTTTACGTACGTAATACTTAACCTTACAATCGGCATTGCCCTTCTTCTTGCAACAGAGGATTCGTTCTCTACGCCGAAAGGACTAAGAGCTCTTATTCCGTAGCCTTTAGCACATAATGGAATTCCTCCTTCTGTGCCTCCTCATCTGTCTTGCTTGCAAATCCTGCTAACAGCCTAGTCTATTAGGAAACAGCTGATTCAATTGCTAAAACTGTTGTTCGAGAAGGGACTAACAACACTGATTTCTAGAGCTATAACAGAAACAGCCCTTAACGCGCAAATAAAAGCCCTCACAACACTCTTTACCTGCAACCGCTCCCGCTTATGGTAGTAGATAAACAGGTGATGGACATGTATCTGCAGCCTCTGCTGCTGATACAAAGTTATGTTCTCCTTTCGTTCTCTTCTTTCTTTTCTTTTTATTTCATCAATATTTGATAACTCTTTCTAACCATAATTGTACTCCTATTGTTTTGTTTCATTAAGGCAGGGGCGTATGTGTCTTTCCTCTGCCAGATCTGCACCTTCTTCGCGATCCTTCTCTTACCTCTATTGGAAGGTGGCTGGAAGAAGCCATGGGTGGAGTTAGCCCATGCCCATCTTGCCTCCCTTCATCATCCTCTGGTAAGTGAGGAGATGGGATCTCTTGGATGGGCGAGAGGGTGTTCCAGTCGTCGTCGTCCATATGGACGCTGATCTCTTCCTCCTGAAGATAGAGGGTGAGCTAGCAAAGAAAGCAGCAGTGCCACCTAATACTCGTAGACTAAAGTACTTCTTTTTATATCTAGGAACAAGCATCGGAGTCAATATCAAAGTAGCAGCGGAAGCTGTCTAGCCGAAAGACAGATCTGACAAAGCCGATGAGGGGGGCAAATGTTCTTCGGACTCATTCCAATTGAGTGCCAAGATGCGCCTGGAGCATAGCGCTAGGGTGCAAGAACGAGTAGGAAGTTTTGGTCCCACCCAGAAGAGTGCACTGATAGCCTATCTATCAATCTTCTCTAGCCAATGACATAAGATAGGGAAACTTTCTGATTGGTCTAATTGAGAGGAAAGATAGGATGATATTAGTTGCAATCGGAGAGAGAGGAAAGTCTCTTGATGTCCCACAAGAAGAAATAGACTTACTTATAGACAAGTCTCCGAAAGTCACTGTCAAGGGAGGATGCTGAAAGCTACTCCTTTTGCATATCAAAACTCTATCAATTCCTTGCTGATTGATTAGAAAAGATATTTGGCAGTGAACTATTGTTTGGCAAACTCCTCTTTTTTGGTCCAGAGGATGGATGCGTCAACTTGGTGTCACATATTCCCACTCCTTCAAAGGAAAGGAGGCCTTAACTAATCTATTGGGAAAAGCTGGACCCTAACTAATCTAATAGCTAACTTTTCTTTGCTGAGCGGATGGGAATAGCTTACTTCACGTAAGTACAGTAGTAGGTATCCACCTTTTCCCTC